GCTCCCAGACTGCCCCGATCTGCCGACAAACAGCTGATCATCAGCTGGTCGGCAGAGCGCGGCAGCCATTTAAATTGAAATGAAACTGCGATTATTTAAATCGCGGCTTCATTTCCCTTTGCCGATCAGCCTAATCTACATGGCTCCATTGATGGAGCCATGTAGTTTAGACACAACCTAGGAGTTGGAGGGAGAGGGCTGACCAGAGGGGCTGAGAGTGTATTTGGAGCTGGATAGCTGATTTGCTTTCTACAGGAAGCCAACAACTGAAGGGTTAAAAGAGTTCTGGGGTAGAGTCCCACCCCAGAAATAGCTGCATGTGGTGGCTGCATTCCCACTGGCTACAAGTGCCTCGGGTTGGCCATTTACCCAGGCCCCAGGTCTAGTGAAGAGGAGAGAAAGGTGACGGTTTCTTCCCGACAGTGCCCTGGGAGGGGTACAGAGTGAGCCAGTGAAGGGAGGCATGTGGGTGACGTAGGACTGGCTGTGTGGAACGGAGGCTGGGAAGTTGTCCTTACTTCTTACAGGTGTCCAAGAAAGTTTGGAGAGAAACAAACAAACAAACAAACCAGGACTTTTGTACAGACAGAAAATTCCAGCAGATGAAGGGACAGATTCTGGCCTTTTTTTCATGGGTGCAAATCTGGAGTGACTCCAGTTCAGTTCAGGAGCTGGCTCCGTCCCTTCACTATTGATGTAAACCTGGCACGGCTCCATCGTAGTGAAAGGACTGGATTCTTCCCTCAGTCCCAGGTATCATGCTGGAAGGACGCCGCTGTAATCCTGTCACTCCAGCTCGACCCCTGGAATCCATTCTGGCTTCGCCCCCCACACCTGGAGCGCATGACAGCTGCAGAGGCAGTGCAGAGGTTTGACTCAGACTCCCCCAGGACGGGGGCAGGATCGCTGACCTGAGCGGTGAACTGGGCCGTGCCCCGGCAGGCGCGCCCTCAGCATTTAAGCCTGTCTCTGTGATGGATCAGGGTGTGCGACCAGGAGCAGAGCGGCTAGTCCTGACCCTCCAGGCAGGCGCTGATGGAGCAGAGAGGTCAGCACTTGTTATCTCTGCTGCCATCTCCTCTCTCAGCTGGTCCCTCTCTGGCAGCTGGCGTGTTAGAGGAGCTAATGAAGGGTGCATTAATTCAATGATAAATCATGGAGCCTTCACATGGCGTTGGCCGGAGTCACTCCTAATTGGCCCGCGTGTCAATCAGGAGTAGAACTGGTTCTGTCCCAAGGATGCCCATTTTCTCTCCGAACCACCCCGCTGTGCTGATCTGGGTTATTGCCCCGGAAAGTCTTGCAAGCACAGAAAGCCCGTAGCCAGACGAGAGAGAGAGAGTGAGTGTGTGTGTGTGTGTGTGAGAGAGAGAGAGCTTCTGTAGGCACACAAAATAAATACAAGTGGAGCATTTATATGATCTCTGTGACGGTAGCGCCTGGAAGCCCCGTGCTGGGAGGAGGCCCCATTGTGCCAGGCGCTGTTCAAACACAGCAGGAACGGATGGTTCGTGCCTCAGTGAGCTTATGGCGCTCACGCTCTGTGAACCCCAATGCAAACGTTGGCGTCAGAGGTCACAAGACCAATCCGAAAAAGGTTTGATGCAGAGTGCGGCTGTGCATTAGGCCCTGGGCTGTGTGTTATGTGGCTGCCTTTTCTCCCCAGAGAGAGCTCCTGGGTAGGCCTCCTGTGTGTGTGTGTGTGTGTGTGTGTGCGGGGGGTGTCCCTGAAGCCAGGGTGCTGCTAAGAGGGATTTAATGAGGGTCACCAGCATGTGTGAGGCAGCCAAAGCCGCTGTCCTTTAGGGGTGCTCCTATCGGTACCCCTGGAGCTGTCCCCACAGCCATCCAAGATGTAACAGGAGTGGAAAACCCACCTCCTGCTGCCTGCCCATTGGTCAGCAACACCGCGAGGAGACCCGCGTGCTCCTCTTTCAGGAGCCAGGCGTTTGGAGATGGGGGGAATTCACCCCCCTGCCCCCAGCGGCGGAAAATCAATGCTCCCTCCAAATCCCCTCCAGCCAGGAAACGCGGAGCTCTGCTCTTCCCAGCTCGGCCAGCAGGTGGCAGCGCTTGAGCTCACCTGGTGCAGCTGCAGCTTGGTTTGCCCCCAGCGTGCGGGTCAGCGAGGGGCCCTGGAGGATGACGCCGGAGTCCTCCTGGAGAGCCGCAGCCGCACCCAGTGAGCCTCATGACGCCGGGGGTCAATTGCCAGCGTCAGCCGGGAAGGGAGCCGCGAGAAATGGCTCTTGCCCTCCGGGAGGAAGCTCTGTCCGGCTCGCTCCACGATTGTCCCGTTCTCTTCCTTCCCTCTGAAGCACCTGCCATTGGCCGCTGGCAGGAAACAACCTCCTGGGCCAGGTGGACCCTTGGGCTGAGCCAGGCTGGCCGCTCTTGTGTAAGACGGGGTGGGTCAGAGCTAGCGTCAGCGTCCACTGCGGCCGACGTTAGTGCTGTCTGTGTTCCCCAGGGATGAGCGAATGAGCTCTTTTCCTCCTGCCCCGGGCCCATTCAGTCCTAGGCCAGTGGGGGCAACCTGCAGCACAGCAGGGCCCTTGTGTGGCCCACGAGACCTTGTGTTGACCGTTGCCCACGCACAGGATTGCCAGATTCTGCTGGTTTTCATCCGCGTCGTTTTTTTTCTTATGGGTGTCACTAAAGTGCCACGTGTAAAGCCAGGGCCCGTGCAGGGAAGTGCAGGCGGATTGCACGCAACACTGATGCTGAGAGCCGTGCGCCCCAGTCCCAATCCCAGCACTGCGACGGGTCCGTCGGCGCCCATCCCACATTCCAGCGACGCCAGCACAGGGCGCGAATCCACCCCATCCCAGGACAACGTCTTGCTTAGCACAGTCTTGCGGCCCAGCGAGATGGAGGCTACTCACACGGCCCAGTCACTCGCCTCGGTTGCCCCTCACTGCCCAGGCCTGATTGGCAGAGCAATCTGGCCCCTGTCTTACAGCTGATGGGGGAAGGGAGGGCTGAAGCACAGTGGGACTTTGTGACTTAATCCAGGACCCACAAGAAGCTGGTGGCACAAATGGGGCTAGAAGCCCACGTCCCTGCTTTAAGGTTCATAGCACACTCCTTCCCGTGGTTGGCGGGATCCGTGTCCCGCTCAAGGCTGGACAATACGTAAGTGTTACTTAGGCTCATAGTTGGTTTAGGGGGCCCTATGCAGGCGCTCTGTCCAGGGTGTGATTTCCTCCCTGGAGTGTGTGTAACAGCCACCAGACGGATTGGAACCTGAGGCCTCCGAAGCTTAGTATAGGAGCCTCTATCCTCTGAGCCAGTGGTTCCCAAACTTTTGGGCATCACGCCCCCTTTTTGATTTTGGAGAAACCTTCGTGCCCCCTCCTCCCATCATTGCACCAAAACTTGTTGAGCAAAAAAAAAAGGAACTGACCAAGGCTGAAAAACTTGGGAAGGGGGGAGATTGATGGGAGGAGGGCTGGGTCACCTCACACCCCCCTGGAATTTCTTCAGGCCCCCTCCCCCAGTTTGGGAACCGTTTTACACTAAAGGGTGGTAAGACAGGGCTTCTTGCACAGGAGCAACACTCTTTTCTAACAAGTGTAAGCCCGCTTGCGCAAGAGGGCAGTGTGGACGGGCAGCAGGGGTTTCTTGCGCAAGAAAGCCCTATGGCTAAAATGGCCATTAGAGTGTCCACACTGCCATGCATGTTCTTGCACAAAAGCGCATGGGAGTGTGGACGTGTTCTTGAACAAGAGTTCTTGCACAAGAACCACAAGATATTCTTGCGCAAGAAGCCACCAGTGTAGACATAGCCTAGGTGTGTGGGTTACACATGGACACCCCCAAAAGGAAGGGCATGGGTTTGGGCCAGCGTACCATTCTTGTAATAACACCTAGCACTTACAGCGAACCTTTCATCCCTCACTCTCAAAGTGCTAGGCAAAGCAGGTCAATGTCATTAGCCCCATTTTGCAGGTAGGAAAACTGAGTTCAAAGCAGCAAAGAGCCTTTGCAGGTTTTTTTCATCCATGTGCGGAATACATTTTTATATGTGCACTGAGGCATGGGCAAACGTGCACTATCAAAAGACAATGCTGTGGGTGCTCTGCTAATCAGATGGGCAGCATTAGAATCTCTCCTGACGGGCCACACAAGCGCCCGGCTTACAGGGAACCCTGGTGTGTGGGTGAATTTTGCCCTGATTTACTACAGATTGAACCACTCTAATCCAGCATCCTGGGGACCTGGGTGAGGCAACCCAGCCTCCCCAATCAAGTTTTGCTGCCTTTTTTTTTTTTGCTCAACAAGTTTTGCTGTTGGGGGGGGGGGGGGGGGTTTTGTTTTTTTTTTTTATCAACAAGTTTTGCTGGTGGGGGGGGGGCCTTTGAGACTAACAAATATATTAGGTCATGAACTTTTGTGGGCTCTTAGAAGACATTTGGGCTATGTCTAGACTGGCATGATTTGCCGCAAATGCTTTTAACGGAAAACGTTTCTGTTAAAAGCATTCGTGGAAAAGAGCGTCTAGATTGGCACGGACACGTTTCCGCAAACGCACTTTTTGCGGAAAAGCGTCCATGCCAATCTAGACGCACTTTTGCACTAGAAAGCCCCGATTGCCATTTTCGCGATCGGGGCTTTTTTGTGGAAAACAAATGTCAGGGACTTTTGCTCGAACAGGAGCAGCATAGTATTTCCGTAAAATGCACTGATTTCTTACAGTAGGAAGTCAGGGCTTTTGCGGACATTCAAGCGGCCAGTGTAGACAGCTGGCAAGTTTTTCCGGAAAAGCGGCTGATTTTCTGGAAAAACTGGCCAGTCTAGACACAGTCTTGGGGTAAATTAGAGCTAAATAACAGCACAGAACATGGCGAGCCAAGACTAGGGGTTGTAAACAAATTTTATGGGAAACTTGGCCACACCCGTGATAAGTGGACAGCCAGCTAGCTAAAATCATACTGGACCATGGATGTTGCTAGATCAGACTGCCCCGGACCAGAGCAGTTCAACCAATGTTCCTTTCTTTCTTGGTCGCAACATCTGAATTCTTCTTTCTGGCCGACTGTTTCCTTTCCAACATTGAAGAGACAGTGCAGCGCCCTTGTCTTGAATTCAGATTTGTGGGTTATTTAAAAACAAACAAGCCATCCATTGGAACGAGGGGCCAGGATACTGAAAATATGCAGACTAGAGGGCAGCCCTGTGTGTGGTATTTGCACAGGGGGATCGGATGGTGCCAGGCATTCTCTTTCTCAAATCTGGGCCGGAGACTGGGTGTTGAGCTGAAAAGTCTGCCCCATAGAAATTAGCCTTAAAATGCTAATAATGCTAATGGGCAGGAAAACATATTGAGCACAAATGTTATCCCTGTCAACTTTTGGGCACAGCCCCTGCATTGAGAGAGACCCTGAAAATACATAATAACAATGACTACTTATGAACTATCCCATGGAGAGACAGATCAGTATCACAAAAGGACTGGAAATATCAGCATCACTCAGTTAACCAGCTATTCGCTTCTACATGGGAGCCACCAGGAAGGGAAAAAAAAAATCTTTCTGTTTCCGGCTTGTACATGCTGGATTATTTCTCAGCCAGTAGAATGCTTTTTTCCCACTTCCTACCTGCTGGCGTGGAGTCTGGAAAAAGTCAACCCAGTGTGCTTTTGTGGATCCTGCATCACCCAAACACTCCCAGATACTTGGGCCCCCACCCATTCACCAGCCCCCACTTAGCTTCCCCATCACCCTGACACTCTCCCAGCTGCGGCCACCCCTGTTGGGATCAAAATGTATGGGCCATACATTGAGATGTATGGGTCTGGGCAGATGAATTAGGGTAATTCGTACCACCCGTCACACACGCAGTGTGCGGAACGTGGTAGCTATGCTGACATAGAACCACAGCTCCGGTGAATAACGCCTGGCATGAGGCGCTGCTGACTGTTCCGATACAAACCAGAGGGGCTGTGACCCCGCTGAGCCCTTGTCCTTTATTTTAAATGACATCCTTTATTTGGTGCCCGACCAGAGGTGAACGGAACTGACCATTTCTTACAGGCGCTGTCCTATTGCAACCCGGGTCCCTGCCAGCTCTTTCAATAGCTCCCTGCTGGCATTTGTGGCGACTCAGACGGCTCTTGCCGGAGCCATGCCCCAGGGCGCCCCTGCTGCCTTTCACCTCTGTGCCCAAGCCAATCGATAGAGGATGCACTTTGTCCCTTATTTAAGCACAGTGGAAACAGGAGTTTGCACAATAAGCTTTGTCCTGTGTGTTCCAGGGAGGCTGGAACAATTTGTACCATGGGGGGTGCTGAGAGCCATTGAACCGAACTGTCCAGCCTCTCTATTGGGGTGGGAAACTTTTTTGGGTCGGGAGCCGCTGACCAGGGGCAGATGACCATTTTGCGGGGCCCAGGGCAGCACAATTTTGCGGGGCCCCCCTTTGCTGCAGCGCATGCGTGGGCCTTCTTGAAGCGCGGGGCCCGGGACGGCCACCCTGCTCGCCCTGCCCTATATACGCCCCTGCCACTGACCCACAGGAAAATCAGCCGGGGGCCGCACACAAGTGAGAAGCAAAGCGAGAAACCCCTGACCGAGAAGGGAAAAGACCCCCCCTCCCGTTCTCCTTGCACACCAGAGCCTAGGGGCGATCAGGCTAGTAGATGTGTGCTCCAGCCCCCTGCGTGGGTAGGGTCGCCAGGTGTCCGGTTTTGAACTGGACAGTCCAGTATTTGAGCTTTCTGTTTGGGAAAGAAATGGAGAAAATAGAAATGTCTGGTATATTCTAACCAAGATGTGATGTAGATTGTCATGTCATGTCAAGTGTGTCCCATATGTTTGTTGAAACCATCTGGCAACCCTATGGGTGGGTGGCTAGAGGACCAGTGCGGGGTCCCCAATGCGGGGAGATCCCCTAGCCTCGGGGGCCGCATCCGGCCCGCGGGCCGGAGGTTCCCACCCCTGCTTTATACAATGGAAACCGCTTCTTTCCTGAATTTAGCGCAGAGGGTTGCACAACAGCCGCGGCAAGCGGGGACTCTCGGTCCGGTCCGGCTTTGCAAGGAGCACTGTGGCTTTTCCTTTTCTCTTTTGCAGGACAGGACTCCGCAAACCACATTCCCACCGACAAGCGCCCGCCCGCTTCACTTTCCCAGCCGCGGCTCGAGGCGAACCATCGAATTGATCCCTCCCACCTCGCACGCTCCGGATTCGCGGCGGTAGGGGGAAAAAAAAAAAGAAGTGGGCGGGCAGGGCGGGGCTGAAAGACCCGTGTGGGGGGGCAAGCCGGAAGTGGCAGCAGCAGCTGGAGCAGCTGGTGGCAGAGGCTGGGGGTCCATGCAGTGAGTTGGGGGTTTTTAACCTTTGCAGGGGGAGAGACGTGCTGGCTGCAGGGCAGAGTCAGAGCTGCCCCCAGAGCCTGCCTGCCCCACAAATACTCAGCCAGCCCAGGGGGTGTGGTTTGGAGAAAAGCTCTTGACACTAGCAGGGGGGAGGGGGGCAGGGTTGAAACGTGCAACATTCTGGCAGGTGCGTGTGCAAAGGACCCCTGGTGAGTGTGCACAAGTAAGGATGCACGATGCTGGGAATGCCCAGGAGCATGTTGCAGGGGAAACTCATTCATTCAGTGACTGGTGCGGGTAGGTCCTGCCCTTGCAGGCTGGGGCAGTGTTGTGCTCCCGTGCCACAGGTGTGCTTTGTGGAAGAGCTGGACGTGCTTATTTGCTATGTCTGAGGGGCTCACGGTCCCAGGGAGAGTGAAACTCTGGGGAAAGTGGAGTAGCAAGTCCCAGGACTGTTATAAACCAGCCTTGTGGGGGTATGTTAGTGAAGTAATAGTGAGATCGTCTTGAGTGTGTGTGTGTGAGTGTGCAGGACATTATAAGGCTTCAGTTTAACAGGGCCCAACTCTGTTTTTGCAGTGGGTCTTTTAAGAAGAACAAGGCACCTTTACAAGGTTGTCCAGGAGGGATGTTAAATTTCAATGTATTGACCAATCGAAGAGCCAACCAGTCATTCACATCCTTACTGTCCAGTGCTGTGAGCCATGCATAGACACGTGGGTCAGTGTGCACCAAGAGAGGCAATGTGAAATCTTTAGGCTGGGCTGTAGAGCTGAGTTCTACATTGAGCTTTTGTGGTGGAGGAGGGAGTGAAAGTTGGCGCACTGGAGTTGGCATTTTTGTTAATCTTTAACTTTGTGATAAATTCAACAGAATCTGCACAGATCTTTAGAGAGAGCACATCTTCACATTAATACTTGCACTTTTTTTTAAAAAGTCATGGTTGACAGAGAAATATCTCGTTAAATGTCTCCTCGAGGGTGTATGATAACTACTTCATGTTATCTAGACATTCCTCAGATGAAATAATATAACGTCTGGGTCCCTTTCCTTACATGATTGATAGCTGCTGAATAATATTATTTCAAAAGTATCCAAGTACCCTATCTATTGCAATGTAACGCTCCTTTCCTGCACAACAAAAGCCTCTGCAAACTCTGTTAGTGCACTGAACATAGTGCTGGGAGTGCACTAATATACACCATGCTAAAGGGGATCACAGTTGTCTTAGGCCAAAAGTACGTGGAAAGTGCGTGCTTGGGGGAAGGAGACATATGCAGGCACTTCTCTGGTGCAGTCCAGGTATAATGGTCACGGTGAATGCATCCTTTTTTGGGTTAGGTTGAGAAGGGTGTGCGGACTTCATTGCATCTCGTGCCTTGTTTTTGAGGGGTGAATGGAACAAGTGCTGTGAAGGGAAGCAGAGAAGACCCGCGGTGGATGTAGTAAACATGCCTCTAGAGTGTGGACGTTGGATTGGAATGGTGCTTGCGTTTGCCTTGTTTTTTGAAACTTGACTCTAGAGCAGCGACACCGCTAGGAATGGAATGGTTGGTTTTCCTTGTAAATCATGCCACCCATTGACAAACATTTTTGGGCTCTAAGATTGGATTGCCAGCAAAGTCAGCCAGGTGCTATGTGAGCAGCGAGTCCACCACGGGCAGGATTGCCACACCCCAAACGCTGGCATTGTGCCAGACACTGAATCCGAAACTGGTTCTAGACAAAAGTGAAACTGACCTGATGAGGTTCATGAGTGGTGCTGAGTGAAATGCAGGCAAACCTCGTGGGTAGTTAGTGTAAACTGCAGCTGTCATTAGTATTAAATGGGTTGGTTTTTTTCAGGCGTGCTGAGTACCCATAGCTATAGAGGGCGCAATGGGGACTTAGCCTCTCTGAGAACCAAGCCCTACGGTGGTTCTGTTAGTAACTGCAAAGGGATGTCTTGTCCTCTGTAATGCCTGAGTCTTACGTTGCTGCTGCACCTCCTAATGCACCAAATCTCTTCTAGGTCAGTAAAACCCAAGAGCTTTCAGCATGATCCCAAGCTTCAGTCCGGTGGTCCAGGCGCTGCTCGGGACTTTATTTACCTGGGGGCTGACAGCTGCTGGCTCGGCGCTAGTCTTTGTGTTTTCCAGCGGCCAGGTGGGTGTTGCCGTTCAGTTCTGAAAACACAGTTCTCTTTCCGGATAAGATGTCTGTGAGACCCATCCAAAAGACATAGACCTTGATTCTGCTTGCCTGGCTGCCTATGAGGGGTGTAAAAGTGTAAACGGTTAACGGCTGAGCCTGGGCTCATCAGTTAATGTTCATGGTTACACGCAGGCTCTCGGTATGCTGGGGGAGCTGGCTTAACAGCTGGCTCTCAGTGCGCACTGGCTCCCAGGGAGCTGCCTGCTGCCCTGCGTGCTGCCTTTGTATCCCGACTCCCGGGGAGCCGAACACCCTGGCTGTAACTATGTAACAGCCTTTGTATCCCGACTCCCGGGGAGCCGAACGCCCTGGCTGTAACTATGTAACTGCTGAGATTTTCAGCAGTTAAACAGTTACTTAATTGCATCAATTTTAACATCCCTACTGCCTCTATTGCTCTGACTTCTGGAGGGGGAGAGGGAGTCTTGTTGATGATGCTGGAGGGTGGGTGTTGGTTGGTTTTAAACATACTCACATGACACACACACGCTCCTTTGTAAACCCAGCTTTCAGATGCCTCTCTAGGCATTTCTTCCACCCCAGTAAATATTTTCTGCATTTATTTTCCTCTGTGGCATGGTGGGGGGCAGGGGACGAGGAAGGTCGGTCTTCATAAAGCCATTGAATGCGGCTTGGGGAAAAAGGATGCGGAAATGACAGCTGCTTCCTCAGCAGGCCCCTCTCTCTGGGTATGCACAGCATGCAGGCAGGTTATAGTAACAGAAAGGAGGCGGTACTCCGCCTGGGGCTCTGGGGCCAGGGTGGGAGAGAGAGCTACATTCTGTCCTGACTCCTGCATCTGCAGTGATATTGTTGACTGGGTTCCGGTTGCTTGGGAACGTTTTGTGGCTGGACGGGGCCGAGCGGCCTGTTTTGCTGGCAGTGGCCCATGAGAAAGAGACTCCTGCTGTGCTCTGCGATGCAAAGTGTTTTCGGCAAGGGAGCCTCAACTCTGGAGCGGCCCAAATTGGTTCCCCAGCAGAGCGTCCGGCTTGGGCAGCCTGCTATCTCACGCTTTTGGGAGCAAGGGACGAGCAGGCAGCTGAGAGAGACTCGTAGAACACTAGACCCGGAAGGGACCTCGCGAGGTCATCGAGTCCATTCCTCTGCCCTCACAGCAGGACCCAACACCCAACCAGATCAGTGGCTCCCAAACTTTTTGGCATCACACCCCGCTTTTTGATTTTTGCGAAACCCTCACCCCCCCCACTTAAAAAAAAAAAACCAGCAGCAAAACCTGTTGAGCAAAAAAAAAATTGCTCTGCCCTTTTAAGAACAGAGCAGGCACTGCCCTTTTAAAGTGGCCATTTTGAAAACTGCCCCAGCCAGCCCAAACTGCATGTGTTCCTGCATCTGAGCAGACAGATGGGCTGGGCTCTTTCTTGAGGGGGGGAATTGATGGGAGGGCTTGGTCGCCTTGTGCCCCCCCCTGGAATTTTTTCATGCCCCCCAGGGGGCACTCCCCCTAGTTTGGGAACCCATGATCTAGATCATCCCTGACAGGTGTCTGTCTAAGCTGCTCTTAAATATCTCCAGTGATAGAGATTCCACAACCTCCCTGGGCAATTTATTCCAGTGCCTAGCCACCCTGACAGGACAAGAAGCAATGGGCTTAAATTGCAGCCAGGGCAGTTTAGGTTGGATGTTAGGAAACATTTCCTATCATCAGAGGCCAAGGAGAACAATTTTTATCCCTCCTCCTTGAATCACCCTTTTAGATGCTTGAAAACCGCTTCTCTGGCCCCTCTCGGTCTTCTCTTTTCCAAACTAAACAAACCCAGTTCTTTCAGCTTCCCCTCAAAGGTCATGTCTTCTAGACCTTGAATGATTTGTGTTGCTCTTCTCTGCAACTGGACTGATGCTTCTCTGCCGCCGTGGTGTCCGTGTCTGTGAGGCAGGGGCAATTTGGTTTGGAACACGGGCCAGCTCCATGCGTTGGGCTGAACTAGCTGCGACTCAGCACTGGTCCTTGGTCTCCGAAGCCGCCTTCGGAAAAGCTGCAGGCCTACCTCAGTGTTGCCGTTGGCTGTCGTCCTGCTTTCCCAGCTGATTTCTTATTTAAGCTCTTCTGGGATGACTTACTGGGTAGTCTGCTTGGGAAGGGAGAGTCTCTGAGCGGTAGGATATTAACTTGCTCTCCGGGAGGAAGGGTGAATCACTCTGAGCTGCTAGGCAGCGGGATGTCCTGAATAATTGACAGCCTGTGCAGTAACACACTGGTTTCAGTGTTTGCTGGAGGCGAAGCAAATTTGAGAGAGAAGTGAAGAACCGCAGACCAAGATGCCTACCTGACGGAGGCCAGGCACAGCCTGAACTGTGGGCAGATTCTCAGGTGCCCCCCTTTCTATAGTACAGTAAAACTCCGATGGTCCGGCATCTGATGGTCCGGCACTCCTGATGGTCCAGCACCATCAGGAACCCAGAAGTGCTCCGGGCAGCTGGACCATTGGGGCTGCTCTGGCCCCGGCTTCTCCGATTCAGCCACTGCTAAAACTGACCAACCCGGCAGCGCCTCTGCTGTCCCCAATTCAC